TAATGGAAAATGGCTGAAAATCTTGAATTTCTGAGTATTATTATCAGGGTCATCTCAAAAGCAAGAGAGGTTCTCTTACCTCCAACATCACATCTGATTTGAATAATATGATTCAAGATGGCTGTTTGCACAGCCTATGGTGTCTTTCATTGCCTTTCTTATGTTCTTATGAGATATCATTGCCTGTTATGTTTATTATGTTGATTACGCAATAATTATGTTGAAAGCAAGGGACATTAAAATGTAGTATATCAAGATATGTGACCCTAGTAGCCTATTCATTATTTGTTCTTACACATATACAGATTCTCCAGTTGGTTCTCATACAAAGTTTAAGTCACTGTCAAATTATTCACACTAATTGTGTTTGCGGTATGTAATCATACCTATTTTCTTGTATGTAAAGAATTAGAAACTAAAATCAAGAGATAACTCCTTAGAGGGTGTTAATAGATGTTAAACAGTGGTAGCATCTTGGCCAAACTCAAAGACAATATGATTTTTGAAAGTAACTTTGAAAGCAAAATAGAGCTAAATCACTGAAAAGAAGAGCCACTCTGACAGTGATCACCAGGTACTTACACATCAGAGGCCATTTCCCAGCCACTTAACTTTTTGTAATGTCACCATCTTCATATTGCTCTTTGTTTACTGAAGAGTCATTACACACACTTTCTGCTTGACATTTTTTTTATTATTGATGCATTTGATGCTGTTTAGATAATGTTTTATAAATATTTGAGTATTTAGTCAGCACATATATGATAATATAATTTATTTTTTATGAAAAGAATCTACACAAATTTAGTATAAAGACTTCTCAAAAGTATACATATATAAACACTGTCATTTTTACATATTCAGTGATAACATCACTACATTGCTAACATTTTGAAGGCACAGCATACAGCCCAGCTCATTTATACCCTGCCTCTCAGACAGGATTACATTTCACACTTGTATAGTTTTTGCCACACCAATTTAATAATTTTCATATATTTTTTTTATTTTTTTGTACATAAAGAACCTTGCAGTTGGGGTGTGAATAAAAGGATTTCTCATCATGATCCCCAGAATTGCCCACTGAGTGTATGATCACTTGTGGGTTGTACTGCAAAGACTTCTTCTCCTTCTTCTTCTTCTTCTTCTTCTTCTTCTTCTTCTTCTTCTTCTTCTTCTTCTTCTTCTTCTTCTTCTTCTTTTTCTTCTTCTTTTTCTTTTTCTTTTTCTTTTTCTTTTTCTTCTTCTTCTTCTCCTTCTTCTTCTTCTTCTTCTTCTTCTTTTTCTTTTTCTTTTTCTTTTTCTTTTTCTTCTTCTTCTTCTTCTTCTTCTTCTTCTTCTTCTTCTTCTTCTTCTTCTTCTTCTTCTTCTCCCTCCCTCCCTCCCTCCCTCCCTCCCTCCCTCCCTCCCTCCCTCCCTCCCTCCCTCCCTCCCTCCCTCCCTCCCTCCCTCCCTCCCTCCCTCCCTCCCTCTCTCCCTCTCTCCCTCTCTCCCTCTCTCCCTCTCTCCCTCTCTCCCTCTCTCCCTCTCTCCCTCTCTCCCTCTCTCCCTCTCTCCCTCTCTCCCTCTCTCTCTCTCTCTCTCTCTCTCTCTCTCTCTCTCTCTCTCTCTCTCTCTCTCTCTCTCTCTCTCAATACAATTCAACTCACTGGTGTACACGTGTTTTTATTTGAATCCAGACAAATGTATTTACTTGTTCTTGGCCTGGCACGCTGTAAATTGTCAGCTGGCATCTGTTCAGAACTGAGACACAGAGCTCTTGCTAAAGACCCAAAGATTGTGGATGGCATGGTGTATATGCCATATTCAGTATAATATTAGTTTTTTAATTGTGTGCACACGAAGATGGCTTCACATGTGCTTAGTCACCAAGAAGTCAATTATTAGTCCTACTTATCTCACTTATTTAACCTTTTCCTTGATTTTCAGGAAGAATCTCTTTTATTTTGTTGTTTTTGTTATTAGTATTTTGTCATTTATTAGTAATAGCAATATTGATATTAATAATATATGAAAAAGAAAATCCCACAAATTCAAGTTCACCATGGCCTTCTAAATGACTCCTTGGTGACTGAGTATTTGTAGAGCCATCTGTGTGTAACAAAATTCACCAAAAGACTACAGCGGACAGTGCATAAACCTGCAGCCATAGGATGGAGGCAAACAGACAGAGGATATCATTTGAAATATCAAAAGGAGTGAGAGAGCGGGGCAAGGAAATCATATTAAAAGCAGATCAACAAAAATGGTTGTTAGATTAAGAGATTTCTTAAAAATCTCTTTTGAGGGGGATTCATTACTGAAGAGGGATACTTTACCAATTGATAATATGTATTAGTATGAGTCTCTTTGGTTCATTTCCACTAATGATTATTTTCTTCTTCCAGTTTCTATACGTGAACCAGAGCTTTGCCCCTTCCCCTGACCAAATCATCAGGAACCTGTACGAATGTTTTGGTTCAGATGGCAAACTGGTGCTTCACTATTGTAAGACCCAAGCTTGGGGTTGATCTCTGACATCTGTTGTAGATATTTTTATTTATTATCTTGTTGGTTTTTCATGGGTATGTGAAATGCTTGCTGTTGTAAATGGTTGTAAGGCCAGTAACACACGTCGCTGGCATTTTATGTATGTCCTTGATGTTATCCTTTGTATTAGGCTCAGTTAGACAGATATAGTTTTTTTTGTTTTTGTTTTTTTTGGTTTTCATCTGAAGGAATTAGTCTTGTTTTTTCTTTGTATTTTGCATTCCACAATTGTTTGTATGTGTGTGAACAGGAGGGGCTCATGTATGTAAAGTGCAAAATTGTAGATATTACAAATACTTAATGCAGTTTCATAAAGTAATTATTTCAGAAGGAAGGGAATACATAAACATGAAATGTATATTTAGATATATGGAAACTTTGACATACAACCATGTCACAGTATTCTGTAAGAATGGAATCCTTATTTGTATTGTGTTATGTTAGGTAAATTGGAAGTAGGAGGAAAGAGTTAGCATTGTTTATTTATTATTTGCTGCCTAACATAAATGGACAAAATTATTGGTAAAATTTCCATATCTTTCTTATTTTGTATTTATTTACTTTTATTTTTTTTCTGATTGTACTAGTCAGAGAAAATCTTTAAATTTTCTACTGGACAAACTTTAACTAACTCTAGTCCCTCCATTGTGCGTATCAGAAACTTTTTAATACAATTGAGAATTTTTCCTTGAGTTTCATTTTCAGTCAGATTTGTGAAACCTATGAATAAAAAGAATTATCATAGAAAATAGTAACATGATTAATCACAAATGATACATGTGATATATCCTTTGTATGTATATGTGAGAACATATTTGAATACATGAATATTAGTATGTGGCATGCATGTGTGCATATATGTGTTTATGAGTATGTTTGTATAACAGTACATGAGTGTGTGAATATGTACTAATGTTTGAGTATTAGTGTATACCTGTGTGTGTGTGTGTGTGTGTGTGTGTGTGTGTGTGTGTGTGTGTGTGTGTGTGTGTGTGTGTGTGTGTGTGTGTGTGTGTGTGTGTGTGTGTGTGTGTGTGTGTGTGTCTGTGTGTCTGTCTGTGTGTCTGTCTGTCTGTCTGTCTGTCTTTGTGTTTGTATTTGTGTGTGGGTGTGTATATATATGTGCGTGAGTGTGCACATATGTGCATACATGATTGTGAGTGAATGTTAGTGTGCTTGCCATGTGTTTGTGTGTTTGTATGTGTATGTACAACTTTGGAATTCTGACAAGAGTATTTTAGAAGGGAATGGAATAATAGCATTCTGAAAAACCTGAACAATTCTGTAAGGCCTTGTATATGAAGCATAAAACATTGCTCAAAACTTTGCTGGCATTGTGTCTGGGACATGCTACATACATGCTTCTAATTTAGCTACAAATATGATGGTAAAGTTGCTATATGAGGATAAGTGATTGTCCCCACACAATATTTTGCTCAGAACATGGGCATGGAGGTGAACACCCATATGAGTTATACTTTATGGGGATGCAAACATGTCTGTAGCTATGTCTCAAATTATGTTTATATCATATTTACAAGGCCTAATAGGAGGAGCCATTCACTTGTGCAGTTAATGGCATAGTCCCATGATACACCAAAAATAGATAGAAGTCTTACAAAAGTTATCTTAAGCTGACTATGCCAATACTATAATGTGCTGTAGTGAGTTTACTGAGGAACTGTTTTTTTAAACACTACCACTCCATGGGATTTGTTGTTTTTTTAATGGCTACTATAGTAATATCATGTTTGGAAGGAGACTGTAGTCAGTCATTATCCCTCACATATCTGTGGCTAAAAAAAATCCAATATTAATTCATATAAAGAGAAAGCTCATCAGGAATAAAGAAGCTAAGCAGCATTTGAATACTAATGTTACACAGTAGTATCAGAGATGCAACCCCGTCTTGCATCTAGTAAGTTGGCCTGTATCAACAGCTGTATGCTTTGCAAGTGGAAATCATGGTGATCATTGCCAATATCAGTCTCAAGATTATCTCCACTTATCAATCATAATGGAAGACATGGAAAGAGGAGGGGCTTATAAGACATTTCCTCTCTGTACCAGTGGTAGATCCAGGGAGTGGCACCTGAGAACATGCCCCTCTAATGATAATGGTAATGATGATGATAGAACTAGTAATGATAATACTAGTAAAGAAAGTTACAAAGAAAAACATATTGATAATAATGATGATTAATAATGATAATGATGATGATATTAATAATGATGATGATGATAAAAACAACAATAATAATGATAATAAAATAATGATGATAATAATAATTATTATTATTATCATTATTATTATTACTATTATGAAGATGATGATGATAATCATAATGATAAAGATAATATTAAAACTTGAAAAATTAAAATAATAATAAATGATTATCATCATACTTTCATAACATATGTTATTGTCATTATTATTATTTTCATTATTTTTTCTTCTAAATTTACCACTG